GCATGGTCGTTTGTGTGTAGGACTGCTACTACTGGTAGTTGCCGGACCGGGTGGGATCAGTTCTTCCACCTGCCCGTCCTCATATCCCACTCCTCCTCCCTCGCCTTAGTCGTGGATGATGTCGAGCCTCTCCCTATCCGCGTCGTACACCGGCTCCCCCGCTCCAGGCATTGCAGCGAACAGCTTGAGGGCACCCATCTGCTTCCCGGTCGTCGTTCGTGCTCGAACGAGTTGCGGCGAAAATACTCGGAGAAGAGAGGCGTCGTTTTAACGTCGACGATGTAAGGCACCGTACCGGCGGGGGTTCCGAGCTGCTTGGCGGCGTAGTAGTACGGTGGTTTGTAAGGCTCCGGCCACGACGCCGTCTGTACTGTGTGCGCGCCCGTCTGGTGGTGTCCGCGATGGTCGTGCCGACCGCCTCATCCGCCATGACCTCCACGCCCATCGCCACCACCCTACCCACCGACGACCAACCCCTTCTTGAGCTTCTCCTCCTTTGCGGCCTTCGCTTTGACGCGCGAGTTTTTCGCGTCGTCGAGCTGATCTTCCGGGCGAGCGTGATGCTCAGATCCTCCGGCACCTCCGTCGGCTCCATCTCCGACACGTTCTCCGACGGTTCCATGCGTCGGCGACGGAAGGAAGGCGAGAGTGAAAGAAAAGAGCGGGAATTAGGCAGAGAGCACTGGGGGATGGAAGAAGAGAGTGGGGGATTTTGGCACGAAAATAGTGTGGGATTCTACAAAAGAGTGGGCTCTGCCTTTCTTTTGGGTGGACCGGGGAGGGCAGAGAGCAATGTTTCACGTGTCCGGACTCTCGCAAAGCCCTCCACGTTTTTCTCGCGTTTGCGGGGCTATTTTAGGAATCCAATAACTCCCGAACGTGCGGGATTTGAGCATTTCGTCCCGAACGTTTTGACATGGCAACTTTAGTTCGTAGGAGATGGCAACTTTAGTTGATAAGGGGATGGCAACTTTGTCCTTTTTCGTTTTTTTATCAGAAAATTGTCATGTTTCCCTAATCTCACGCAAAATAAAGTTGTCGTCTAAAAGCGTTCGGGTTGCCATGCTTAAATCCTGAACGTTCGGGAGTTATCATTACCGCTATATTATGGTGCCTTATAAACCAGATAAGAGGGGCCATTTTATTGTAGACGATCTCTCTTTTTTTGCCTACATTTTCTCCAAATATAACGTCGCATATTAAAATAGGTGGAAGGCAACTAGGACGAAATGTCAACCAGTAGAGCGCACGAACAAAATGGTAATGGCATTACGGAGATTATACTCCCTCCATTATCTTATACAAGGCCACAAACTCAAATTACAGGTATCTAGGTAAAATTTAATGACTAGTTTCCAAGCCAACTTTTCTTCTTGTTATCTGGGATCATTAATACGCTCGCATGCATGCAAGGAAGAAATGAAAAGGAAGTAGCACAGTGTCATTATGACTACATGCATGTAAGTATTAAACAAATTGCTAGTACGAGAAAACATCATTAAATTTTGCCTCGGTTAGTGTTAGTGGCCTTGTATATAAGCAAAATGTATTTTTCATAATGGCCTTGTATGAGGGAATGGAGGGAGTATGATCATCGTGCTTGCCAGACTAGTTTTCGCCTATTTGCACCGGTCAAGTTTTTTTTTCTACTTGGGCATGCACGCAAATAACAAAAGATGCCAGGGTGGCAAAGAAAATCATTCGCACAGATCGCCAGAGGTACCGATGGATGGCTGTGGTTGGAACACGGGGCCACCCAATCGCTCCTGCCATCATCTCCCTCCTCTGCACCACTCAAAACCACACCCCTTTCCATCCTTCTACGCCAGCCTCCCTCTCTTCCTCACCCAGCCGGCCATGGAAGCTCTGGCCGTCGCCTCGCCGGCCGCGGCGCGGCCGCAGCCCCGCCGACGATGCCTCGCCGCAGGTTCTTGTAATTCTCAGTCACCCAGCTAATCGAGCTGCATTTCCGTACCTTGCTCTTCTAGCTCCCTCTTGTGTATGTAGTGGTCACGTGTAATCAAGCACCGTCTGCTCTGGGACTGGGATAGCCTAGAATTCGTTCGTTCAGAGAACAGATACACGGTGACGGTGCATCACATCAGTTACAGCACCATAGAGTGGGCGGTGTGCTACATGCACCGGTGGCTGCTAGGTGCGTGAGCAGGGCATGATCTGCCCACCTTCTTCCTCTGGGCAGGGCAGGATGTACTTGGAAACGATATTTCTTTCAGCAATCTGCTTTTATTTCTGATGACATGCCAAAGAAATTGAAGCAAACCGAAAGTCGCATTGCGGTTCTCCAAATTCGCCGTCTCTAGTTTAGGCCCGCCCTTCGCATCTCCTCACCTCTGGTGACGAAACCTTCTTATGCCATTCTCTATGATTTTTGTTTTTCAAAAGAAGCACAGCCTTGATGTTTGTAGATCTCTGAGAAAACCAAGGTTTTGCTTATGGGTGCTTAGTTCAAGTTAGGGCATCTCCAACAGCCGTAAGATAGGTGTTGGTAAATTTGCCACGTAGGATATAGTGATGATGTGGCATGTAATAAATGTGGAGAGAGAGCAAAGTTGTATGTAGAATAACCAACAACCTTGGCACAAGCTTCAAGGTGAAATAGAGAGCAATCACATTTACATTCTCATCATCTATTGGATAGCTTAGATACAACCTATTGGAGTAGTTGTATGATAGCTTGTTGGCTGATGACATGGACAATTTACCAACAGGACTAACATACAATCTGTTGGAGATGCCCTTATGCATGATACTGCATTTGCGAGGAAAGGTCGTGATAACATTACATCAAAGTCAACACTGCCGGAATCGTAATCGGTTCAGAACGCCGTGGTAGTCTCCTCGCAAATCGTAGAATTCTGAACAAAATCAGAATAAAAATGAGCATGACCTTAATGTTTAGTTGTGAGAAAAGAAAGTCTATCTTTGCAGACACTCAGTTTCTGTTATGCATGACAGTGCGCTGGAGACCAAGTTGTGCTAGTCGAGGACACGCCCAGGCTTTCAGAATCTAGGATTTTGAGTCGTATCAGAACTCTCTATGATAAGATCGCAGATCGTGTTGATTCTACTAACCAGAATTGTAGAATTGGTCCGAGCAATTTACATTGTAAAGTTTCAGTATATGTATCTGACACCGTATTACTCCTAGTTCTGAAAGTGAACCGGAGGCCAAGTTGTGCTAGTCGACCACACACCAAGGTTCTAAGTACCATGGATTATGAATCGGATCAGAACTCTATATGATAAGATCGCAGATCGTGTTGTAGTATGGACAACATTGTACCGTGCATGAATCTCCAATAAGTTTCAGTATATATGTGACACCGTTCCCTATTTTCAGGCTCGTCAGGCCAAAGGAGGACGAGCCAGCTACACACCTCCTTCAGCGGCATCACCGTGCAGCGCCGGCCACAGAAGCCGCTGCCACACCGGCGATCATCGTCGGTGGTGGCGATGGCGATGACTTCGCGGCCGTCGATCCAGTTCATCCAGGGCACGGACGAGCAGACGATCCCGGACGTGCGGCTGACCAAGTCCCGGGACGGCAGCAACGGGGTGGCCATCTTCACCTTCGAGCAGCCGTCGGTGTTCGACTCGTCGGCGGAGCTGGGCGACATCACGGGGTTCTACATGGTCGACGAGGAGGGCACGCTGAGCTCCGTGGACGTCAGCGCCAAGTTCGTCAACGGCAAGCCGGCGGCCGTGGAGGCCAAGTACGTGATGCGCACCCCGAGGGACTGGGACCGCTTCATGCGCTTCATGGAGCGCTACTCCCAGTCCAACGGCCTCCAGTTCCTCAAGAAGTAGTAGCCATCTCCGTCCAATCCATACATCATCATCATCCTTGAATGAATCTTTTGATTCTTTTTCTTCTACTTATTTTTTGTATCAAGGATTCCTGACAGAAACTACGTAGCTGCTATCTATAGCTGCATTGAGTTCAGTCATCACCGTGACTGTTGATTTGTGTGCTCTGTGCCTGCGTACCTTGTTCATTAAGCATGAGATGCTTGAGATTCTTCATGCTGCTTTTTCTACTTGATTCTTTGATAGTATGCTTTTTTGAACAATCCTCGCGTGTTTATATTCTGATGATGCCACATTTAAACACCAATAACACATGCTTGCAAAAGCTCATGTAGGTTGTAGAGTGCCTGCTTTACCTCTTTCTTGCAGACCACCACATCACAGAGAAATTGCTGCACCGAATACAGGCTGTGGCACATGTGTTGTGGCGGATGGAAAGAATCGATGATGATCGCAGCAGGGATCGGTAAAATCTCAATCTCAATCTCAAATCTCAATAGAGGAAGGTGGGCTAAATTTACATGATACTGTTACAATATAACACTGTACAGGCCGAGGGTGAACATGTATTAGAAGGGGGTGGTCATACTGTTGTCAATAGCACAGCACAACAGGAAACTAAGACAAGCTCCCTAGACTCCAGGGCACTACATAGTGGTCCGCAACGATGGTGTCTATCATATATCATTCAGGTGTGTGCCCTTGAGCCGGTTGTACTGTGATGCAAAGTACCTGGGCATGTTGACGGGTCATCAGTCATCGATTATCTGATGCCTGTCCGCTTCGGCGTAACTGGCTGAAGACTGATTCGAGGAGGCGCCATGAGCAGTGCTGTTGCTGCCACGACAATGCAGCAGCTGAACCTGGAGGCTCTGGATGAGCTCGGTGAGCTGCTGGATGTTCTTCTCCTGCGCCAGTATTATCTGTGGATTGATACATAAACTTGTGAGTGTGGAATGTTAATTTGAATCCGCACAAAAGGGGTGGAAACAAGAAAACCGCCTTGTGTGTCGTAGTTACTGGCACTGAACACCTGCTTATCAAAAACTGTCGCATGAAGCGCAATACTTCCCTAAAAGTTCTTACGTAATAAAGCAATCACCATACCAGTAAGCCTAGCTGCATAATGTATCAATTAATTGAGGAAGATTGCATACACCTTCTAAAAATAAAGCCGCTGGCTCTTTCTTCAGATGACAAACTTATGCTATTCCTGTTCTACCGTCAGATCCATCACAAAGCATAGGCGTTGAGACAGAGTAATAATTAGCCACATAACAGGGCTATACCTGTATGCTACAAATATCTCAGAACGTGGATAAGTGATCATGAAAATTCCACAGGTTACTCAACTTCTTTACTAAGCAATACTTGCATATGTTGTCAAAGTTTAGAGGGGATGCGCTAAACACAAAACTGACTTTCTTGAAACTGAACTACAGTATGTAATTAAATGGAAAGAAAAAAAGAGGAAATATAGAGCATTCCATCATAAATGCACACAGATTATTCTGAAGACAGCTACTAGTATCATGCCATACAATTTAATATTCCTATCGACACTATAGTAGCATCAGAAAAAAAAAAGTCAGACAGAAAAGTTGGCTGCTAGAGAGGATGAAATGCAACCAAAAGTTGGCTGCTGGAGAGGATGAAACGCAACCAAAAGAACTAAGTTGGTCACACATCACAGGTTTCAATCTGTTTTCACAGAGGACACTTCAGGTGGCGGTTCCAAATTTTCAATCTATGCGTGTTCAAAGTTCTAAAACACTACCATATGCCAGCACCAATTCTTTCGCAACATGTACAAAACAAGGTAGCACAAGAAATAATGTCAATAAATGGTAGTGCTTCCAAGAAGATAATAGATAATTTACCTCTAAATAGAATGGCGGGGGTACGCGCTAAAATCGACCTAGAGCGAGTGCAATTTGACAAACGACAAGAACGCCAGGAGAGCGGGTCACTCACTTTCTCTTTAACGGCATCTTCCCTTACGACCAGCGGTTGCTGCCTCCGCCGCGTAGCTTCGGGACTCGCCTCGGCCTCACCGATCTGCTGCTTCCACTCGAACTGCGATGATATGATGAGCACGAGCAGGAGGAAGACGAGCACGATCGGCCTCGAATTCATCACTCCAGTCAGCAGCAGCAGCCAGAGACCTACAGAAACACATGCCACCGTCAGCTCGTTACAATCTCCACGGCGGCCGCCAGGGAATCAAAACCACAAAACAATCTCTACAGCACACACTAGCCTAATGCTTATCCATGTGTACTACTCCCTCTGTTCCCAAATGCAAGTCTTTTTAGAGATTCCAACAAGGGGCTACACACGGAAGCAAAATGAGTGAATCTACACTCTAAAATATGTCTATATGCATCCGTATATGGTAGTCCATTTGAAATCTCTAAAAAGACTTGTATTTAGGAACGGAGGGAGTACAAAAAATCCCCCAAAATGGACCAAGTCAGGGAACAAGTGAATAACACAAAGAGGCTGGATCAAGTACTTACTATTTATCAAAGTCCAGTGTGTGGGCTAGAGGGATCGTGGTGGCGCGACGAACTCAAGCACAGAGGAGATGGGGAATTTGACTCGAACTGGCGGCGCCCACGGATCGAGGCCCGGCCTGGCCGTCCCAGCACGAGAACCGCCCGGGGGATCCGGCGACGATCTCGCCCAGATTTGAACCCTAGGAGGATAATAAAATTACTGCTGGGTGGAGGTGGGGGGCGGAGATCGAACCATCGCAGAGGCGGGCCGCGGAATCGGATGGCCGGTCCGGCCGAAGCTCCGGGGAGTCTCGCCTCTGCACCGCCACCCGCGGATCAGATCTGCCTCTGCCGCCGGCTTCCAGCCCTAGCCACCGGCACCAACCTCGGAGATCGAGAACTGAGACTGCTTCCTCTCTTTCTCCTCCGCTCTCCGTTCCGCCGCGCCGCCCCCTGTTTTCCTGCCCCCTTCCTTTCTCCCTTCGTGCGGCGCAGTCGGCCAAATGCTGCTGGCTGGAAAAACCGATGACGCGGTGCGTGTGCGATGATACCTTTAGCATCACTGCTGACGTGAAGCAAAGGTAGAACCGTTTGCAAGGCACGTGTGTGTTTCTAGATTGTCAACCGTGACATTCTGTTTTTTTTTGGGTCAATTTGTGACATTCCATGTAAAGAAAAATGAAGCGACCTAATCGTTCGTGGTTATATTTAATAGAAATTCTTCACCTAAAAATTACCTCCCACGATGACCTAACCGTTCATGGTCTATATTCAATATGCGATGCGTATAGGTCGTCGTGTTTGAGGACGGGTTGCATATTAATGCGTCGTGTTGGAGAAGGACGGCATGTTGATGTCGGCCATGTTGATTTTTTTTTTGCTATTTATTTTAAGTATTTGTGATAGTATATAAAAAGTATAGTTTGAAGTAGCATCATAACTTAAGGCAATAAATAAGAGTATACACGTTAATTATGAGGTAGAAATCTAGCTTCTCTACTACTACTATTAAAAAGCGTGAGAGTTTTAGCCTAGGGAAGCCTATGCTTGTATGACCGCTAAACAAAAAATATAGTATTGTATACAAAACGCACAAGAGATCTGCTAAAGAAACCAAGAGATGACAAGTGTTATGAAAACTTCGCCGGAAAGTGCCATATGGAAAGCATCATTAGAGACAAGTCCTTTAGACTACCCGCCACCAACCTCTAGGACCAATGTGATGTTTGTTGGGGGCTATTTGCGATCGCCAAGTGAGGGTTTGAGAGGCTATATACAGAACCGATGCGAGTAACGAGACAACTACCGATGTGGCATGTCGGCTGGGGGAATGTTTCTGTGTCGACCTAGACCCAGTCAACCGATGGTACCGAGGAAGAATGTCGAATCCTCCACCAACAAACCTCCAACATGCACTTTGACATCATCTTGGATCCACAAACAACAACCACCATGCACACCATTGAGAAATAAAGGCACGTCACCACTGAGTGGACGACAAATCACACGAGACCAACCACTCTTCGTGGTGAACAAGAGATCGAGGGGAAGTTATTCAATGTGGTGCCACCCGCGCCGCTCCCTATGCCACCAAACTAAAAACTAGGGCTCCCTCTATGTACAAACTGAAAGTGAAATGAGGCCTCCGAAAACTTCCCTAATAGAGAAATTGAGAGACATGTGTGCACTGAAACTTGGGGACGATACATAGATAAAAGTATCCACATTAACTATGAGGTAGAAATCTGCTTCTATAATATATACTAAGAGCATGTTTTCCCCAAGGAAAGTGTATTAGCATGAAACAAAAAAAAATAGTGCATATGCAAAACACATATGAGATCTGCTAGAGAAATTGAGAGATGAAAGGAGTTATGAAAACTTTGTCGAAAAGAGCCATAGGGAAAACATCATTAGAGATAAGTCCATTAGGCTCTCTGCACACACCCATCCCGCAACCGCCTCCAATCTCCAGATCCACCGTGATCCTTGTCGGGGGCCATTACCATAGCGTGCGAGGCTTTGAGAGGCTATGTACAGAACCAATGCGAGCGATGAGACAAATATCAATGTGTCATGTCAACTGGGTGAATGTCCCTATGTTGACATAGCCCCAGATTCACTGACGATGTTAGGGAAGAAAGCCAAATCCTTCACTGACGAACCTCCACCCGTACTCTTTGACGTGATCGACAAACAACAACCACCATGCACACCACGAAGAAATAAAAACATGTCACCACCCAGTGCACGACAGGCATGCGAGACCATCCACTCTTTAATGTTGCCGTGGTGAGCAATAGATCAGGGACCAACTTATTTTCATGTGACGCCATCCTTTGCCGCTCCGGTGCCACCAAACGAGCCTTCCTCTATGTATGAACTGAAATTTCCACTACTGACGAAATCAATAGATGGAGGTGGGAGGGGTTGAAAACCGTTGCCACAACGTCATTCAACGCGGCCCTCCTCTGCCTTCTCTTAAAAGGGGAAGAGAACGAA